AAATAATTTTCTTTATTTAAAAACCTCTAGATGATATATATATATACATACCCTAAAACTTCTACAGGATATATATATATATATATATATATATACCCTAAAACTTCTGGATGGTATACCCTAAACTTGTGGATGATATATATATCATCAGTTTTCATGAATAACAACTGTTGTGGTGTGAACCAGATTAATTACAAAAGTGAAGTTTAATTATTGAGAATATGTGATGAAATTTATTCAGTTTTAACGCAAATAAAAATTAATTTGGCAAATGTAGTAAATTAGTCTATCTATGTATCACGTTTAATACACATTTTAATATTTTTATACTCAGCAAATAGACGCAAATCAAGACGGACTGATTTCCTTTGAAGAGTTCAAAGAATGGTGCCAGAAGGTCAGAACTCAAATTAATTACCAATCATATTTTGAGTTGAAAAAATATATATATAGGTAGAGTGCGTTATATCTTCCTCTCCTAAATTAGTTTTCACGCCGATAATCAAGATAAATACAATAACATAGAGACGGAGTGTGCTGAAAAGAGACTGGTCAATGACGTGTGACGTCACAGTTAACTTTCATTAACATTGATATTGTTCCAATGATTCATTGGCTCTAACTTATAAATGTTAAGGTTTGAAAGTGAATTTACAATGTGTAATTTATTATATAATAAATAATAATTAATTACATCAGTCATCGTAACAACAACAGTAAATTTAATGTTAAACTGATACAAAAAAAACTGTATAATGGGGGCATGCTATGATAGAAATAATGGATACAATGTCAAATTCTCAGAAACGTTTGGTAACATTAAAACTATTATTTAATTTCTGTAGCGCATGCTGGTGCACAGAAGACATATTAATACTAGAAATAAACGACCTTATAACACCAAAATGTTGTTTTTATTTAATTAGACACTCAACGTTTAGCTTTACATCTTCTTCAGGAGCGTTCACTAAAACAGTTTTGTGTTATAAAATCATTTATTTCTAGAGTTAATACTAAAACTAAACACTTATTTAGAGTTAAGTAACATCAATTGTTGCATTACTGAGTTAAGAGATCGAAATAAATTCAATTACTGGTGCAATTAAAAGTTAAAATATGTATAAACGTAATAGAAAATCAAAAAAAAATTAATTGACTTTAGTAACAATTAAAGAACTGTTAAAGTCTAGCTTTTAATAAATATTCATTCCACAGTTTAGTGGTTTTTGTTTTTTTACTTTTTTATGTTTTTAAAAGTGTCAATAATTTTTATCTTCTGTTTTGTGATTGCTTGCAGCCAGCGCTTATAATTCAAGAAACAAATTCTAATAGAACCATAATACTAACGTAGCTGCTTAAGGTATTTAGCTCGGCACGGCTAGGTGGTTAGGGCGCTCGACTCGCAATCTGAGGGTCGCGGGTTCGAATCCCCGTCACACCAAACATGATCGCCTCTTCAGCCGTGGGGGCGTTATAACGTGACAGTCAATCCCACTATTCGTTGGTAAAAGAGTAGCCCAAGAGTTGGCGGTGGGTGGTGATGACTAGCTGCCTTCCACTGCCAAATTAGGGACGGCTAGCGCAGATAGCCCTCGTGTAGCTTTGCGCGAAATTCAAAACAAACAAACAAACAAGGTGTTTAACGTGTTATACATCGTTTACATTCTTCTAATGAAACATTAGCATGTTTTGGCTTGAAATGGTCGCATGCCCCCAGACCCCGCAGTATTAGCATGATTTGCATGCTGATTGTGCTTTAAGCAATATGTGTTGGCTTTTTATCTCACAAATTAGAAGCGCCCCCGACCTGTTCTGGAAACAACTTTTCGGTATATATCTGGGAAAAGCATTTGCATCTTTTTCACTAATTTGTTCACATAATTTTAACTAGAATTTACTGAATCTTTTCCGTGGAATTTAGGAATGAATTTACTGAATCTTGGAAGTGTACTTACGTGACTTTGTGGCGCCTAAAAGCTGATTTATGTAGTATGCAACACAGATATCGGCAGGAAAGTTACATAGCTAGACAGATTGTTTACGCACTGCTGATTAAACGCCAATAACATCATCTGATTGACTTTTTATCTTACTAATGATAGCCTAGTTGTTACATACATAATTTCTTATATCGTTTCTAGATTGTTTTTTCAAAGTCTACAACAATCTTTTTAAGTATAACGATCATAGTGTAAAATAACTATCCAACTTAACTACATGCTGTAGAGTTAGGGCTAAAAGTTGTGTTCTTTAAGAGTAATTATCTAAACCTAATAACAATACAAGTGCTGTAGTATTACTTTACCTACGCATATAACACTTAAAATTGTTTAATACTTTACACAGTACTTCCTTGATATCTTGTAAACTATAGCTAATTTTTTTTCGATAATGAGTTATCTGAATTACAGTTTATACGGTCCTAAGTCGTCTGTGTTTGGGTTAGTTTGTGACGTCAGAGGATAGCCTAGTTTCAAGATAGCTTAAATCCGTGAACTGCCATACCTTGTGTCTATATTACTGTACTTACCTAGTTACCAGAAAGGAAACTAAACCTAGATGTTTGTATCTCATCTGATATAAACTTACTATAACTGTAAAATAAGCTACAAATAACAGAGTGTTATTCATATACCTTAGACATTAATAAATTATATACTACAGAAAAACTTTACAGTTTGTGTGTGATTAATCAAAACTAGTTTATAATCATTACAAAGAGAGATAACCGACTGTTTAAAAAAACTCTTACCTTGTAATGAAGTGTGATTATAAACAGTCGGTTCTCTTACCTTGTAATGAAGTGAGTCGGTTCTCTTACCTTGTAATGAAGTGTGATTATAAACAGTCCATTCTCTTACCTTGTAATGAAGTGTGATTATAAACGGTCCATTCTCTTACCCTGTAATGAAATGTGATTATAAACAGTCGGTTGGTTTATAATCACACTTCATT